AAGCTTTGATTATATAGATGTCTATATATTGATAAGTTTTGTGTATTAAGGCAGCTAAATTTTTTTTAATGCAAATACTATTAAAAACGACAGACATTTTGTGTCGATTAATTTTAATTCTCGACTTTTCCAAACTACGGATAATCCTTCTCAGACAAGGAGGAAAATCCGTTCGAAATTGTCGAAAGTTCATTACGGACAAAAAGTTCAAGAAATACGCCATTTGGAAAGGTCGATCATTAAAATTTATTGATACCAAATATCGGTCTTTTTTAATATTGGTGTTGTGTGGTACATTTGATTGTAAGATTTGATTATATGAATATGTATAGAGTTATACGTATTGAGTAGTATGCAGGATTGCTAAATATGTTTCCTTGAATATAGATTCTCATTCTATTTTTTTCCTACTGATTGGTGTGATATAAGAGATGAACAGCATGTGTTTGATCCATCATGGCTGGCTCAACCCAAATATTTTTGGGTAGCTACAGTTTCTTCAATATTGAATCAGCTTAAGGCACTACAGCAAGAGGAAGTATCTCAAACATTACTAAAGCTATTAGAAAGAAATTGAGTATTTTAGATTTAGTCGCTTCTTCCTCAGTCTTCTAAATTCTTTTTGAAAACAATTTTAGTATCTATTGACATACTATTTGTCATTGATATATATATATATATATTGTGCGATGGATAAATTGTCGTCTAAATTACTCATAAATGGAAAAAGCACTGACGTCTCATTTAAAGAGATATATGTAACAAAATTAAACAAATATATCTTGAAATGCTATAGAGTAAATGCATAATAATAAAAATCGACATTGGTTTCAACCAAGGCCTCCAGACGACGTCGGAATCTCCTGCAACACTTCTGGATGGTCTCCCCGTTTAAGTTCGTGAATGAGTTTTGTTCATATCTCGCTCAAGTGGTCCGCATACATAATAATCAAGGGGGTTGCAGTCTGGGGAGTTAGGTGGCCAGATGTAAGGGGTGATGAGATAACAGAAATTGTATGACAGCTATGGCTGCGTTCTTCTGCTTGTGTGGCATGGTGCAGATCCTGTTGTCAGGCATAGGGTCATTTCAGCAGCGACCCTCTTGACCCTCATAGAACTATCCCCACAAGGCATTTAATGTAGGCATCTGCGTTGAGTCTGGGACCCTCACCAACAAATTCGCGAGTTCTGTTTTTATCAGAAGAATCAGGAAGATTTCTCCGAGCGGTCGTACCATTGTAATCACCATTAGACTCATCCAACTCTTTCTGAATCCTCTGCACTGTCCTTAGATTGACGCCTAAACACTCTGAAATGTTCGTATTGGCGCGAATGCCAAGTAGTATGGCATGCCGTTTCCAAATTTCTGGCGGAGTGAATTGTATCATGGCACTCTTTTTCCCAAAGATGGTGCCCAACTGACCCTACTATATTGTGCAGTCGACAAAATGAAAAACAACGCGCATGCGCGAAACTGAAATATGAAATAAAATGGCGACAATTTACCCATCGTACTCTGTATATATAGTACATAGAGTTTCAATATAGTATTAATTTAATATTTACATTGAACATGAATATCCTATCAATGTATCTAAAACTCAAGGCATTCCCGAGCACTTATTAATAATTTGCTTTTAAGTCGACTTTGATTTTCAAAAATTTAAATGCAATCTCAATCGTTTTCTTGTATCTTTTTAATTCCATTTAAAGTTCTCATTCCTTAATAAAGTCTTTCTTTTTCGCATATTTGTTCTTTCACACTCAGTAAGCTCTTGCGTTTTAGTGGCTTTATTTCATTGCTTACTAGATATAGTCTGATACATTATCAGTTGACTAAGTAGCAGAAAAATATTTTTGTCACCTAGTGAACGATGAAATATGAATCATGATCGAAAAATATAGGGTCTGTTGTTATGGTAACGAAGCTAAAGTACGCAGAGTGAAGCCGCTTGCCACACACTGACGTTGAACGCTATCACTCCTACACACTAAGTTATAATGATCTTGTTCACTTGCGCTGTTTATAGCAGCTCTTGGAAGGAAAGTGAGTAGAGTCTGTTCATCTCACCGCAACCCAGAGATTCCATCGGTAACGATGGATTCTACAACAGTTTTTGGCCAAGCACAAAATTCCTCAGGTCCAACAACCACCATATTCCCCATATGTCGTCTCTTGTGACATTTTTCTCTTCAAAAATCAAATCCGACTTTTAAGGGACAATATTTCTGAACGTCGAGAAAATCCAAGAGAGTTCCAGGAATGCGTCCATCAATGGAAGCGACACTGTATAAAGTGTGTGGCTACAAAAGGTGGTTACTTTGTAGGAGATTAGATATCAAATCTGGAGCCACTTCTGTTTGCCTCGGGGTTCTTGATAGGCTCCAGATTTATAATAATTGGCCCTGATCTGGCATCTCGTCTACAGTCACTTTCTCACAGACGCGCTATCACCTCTCTCTGTCTGTTTTACAAACACTTTCATGTCAATTGCTCCGAGGAGCTGCATTCGCTGGTTCCCAGACTTCATGAGTTCAAGCGCCCTACGAGGCTGGCATCCCGCTCTCACCCCTTCACTTTCGAAACTCCTAAATATAGCCGTCTCTTCTACTCCAATAGCTTCATGTCTCGCACCTCTCGCCTGTGGAACTCCCTTCCCTATTCCAGTTTCCCTGAGAGCTATAATCTCCAGCTATTCAAATGTAATGTCAGTCAACATCTCCAGTTGCCTTGATCTATCCACTACCCTTCTCCTCATCCTTTCTTCTATCACTCCTATCTAATCTTGCTCCAAATTTTCGGTAACCCCTTGCGTCCTAGTGGCTTCCCGCCTTGCTTGGCGTGAAACGCTTAAAAAAAAAAAGTATTGTAGTCTTCTTTGTATAGCACCAGTTCAGATACTTTTTGGTCAAACCTCCTATACCGTGTGTAACAGTAAAATTGTCAAAATCGTGTATGAGATAATTGTCTATGCCCCCCCGCCACAAAAACAAAAAACAAAAACAAAAAGAAAACAAAAAAACAAAACAAAAAACGCAGTAAACTGAGTTTCTTTTTTTCAGATTATCAGATAAGACGTTTAGCCATCTTAATACCATTTGTCGTAAGAATCACTGAAAATCCTTTGAGTTTTTCAGCTTGAAAGAGAACAGGTTAAAATCATTTAGTGTCAGCCCCACTATGGCTTCCCAAATGAGCAATAGTGAGAGGAAAAAGATGATTCAGGACTTCAGTAATGGTACGAACATTCACACTATGGCTTCCATCTTCAAATTCTATTCAAGAACCATCAAGAGAACGATGGATACGTTTAAAAAAGAGGGAACAGTAGAGAGGAAAACTGGAACAGGAGGTCCCAGCAGGAAGAGGGGTCATCATTTCAACTCAGAGCTAAATACATTACTGTTCAAAGTAGAGTTCAATAGTGTCATAAAAATCTTAATTCCAGTAAGATATCTTAAATCATTTCTAAGATACGACGGTTCAAATCTTAATCTAACAGTTGGACAATTTTGCTGTTACACAATTTGGAAAATTTTGCTGTTACACCCTATATATCAATATATTGATATCCAGCGAAGAAACTTTCGAGAAAATGGAAACAAAACGGACACTTATACTTAGAATGAGGCACATAATGAAGAAAGTCGGCTTAGAAAATTTGACACTCACCGGACATATTGGAAGCAAGAGGAGAAGAGGAAAGCAGCCCATAATCTACTTAATCAGCTTGTTTGTCGGAACAGGGATTAGGAGAGATAGCATAAAAACAACCTTACTAACAGCTACAAAAGAAAGGAAGAAGTATAGAGCTAATATCAACCACGTGCTGAAGGGATACGGCACATAGAATAAGAATATTTATGTCGTTTTCCATTTTTATGGCACACAGAAAAATCCCACCAGTATGGCAGTGATAAAATAGGCCATTTCCATACAAGAAAACTTCGACACTTGGTGTTACTTTCGGTTGAAATTTAAAAACATATTTTTTATTTTATTGAAGCAGTTCTTTAGGAAATTAAATCTCTCACCTCCATTAGTTTAGGTCATTCGAATATTGATGGCGTTTTCTACCAAACTTATTTCTTTTAGTTAGTAATGGAGGGGAATAATATCATATCACGTTGGGTAAGTCAGCGGATAATGAGTGACCTATGGAAGAAGGCATATTCTACCATTTGCGTTCTCCCATTGTAGTCATTATTATATCTATGATATAATAAAACCTTATTTAATGGACGGAACTTAATAGCTGAAAGGAAAGGAATGACAAACATAATTTGTTCTCAGAGTTTTTTACCATTAAGTTGTACACAAAGTTATATACAGATATTTACATCTGTCCCACGTAGAGAAACTATACCACATGTCTACACTACAAGCAGTGTGAAAAGGTGATGAAAAGATAGGGTCTTAATTGTAAGCATTCTCATCAAAAATTTTGAGGTGGCGAGTTATTTTTCTGTGTTTATGGAGAAATCATATTTAGGAATCTAGATGCGATCGGGTGGGATTTATTTTCTAGGCTACTAGTAAGGACATATACCTCTCAAACAGGAAACGGCAAGTCATCGTTTTTCCTAACACGAGGACTACGAACCGTTGATAGTTCCTACATCTGGTGAAGACATATCTCCAACGGAAAGCTCTGCCATGAGCTTCTAAGCAGTCCACGTGTCTTGACTGAAGGACTGATCACTTTCGTCAGGCTATGAAGTGAGTTCACTAAGCGACCGTCAAATGATCCACATGACCAGCTCAGCTAAAGAGAGGTAATCGCTCTTTGTATCTCTGATAAGATAGAGACTCTGGGGCCAGCCGCATTAGTATAAAAGGATCTAGAAGAGTGGCCGTTCAGGATAACCCTCATCGCAGCGTTTCATTACTGTCTCTACTACGCCATCTATTCAAACAATTTCATAAGGTAAGTTAATCACCGTTCCTCTTTAAAACCTCTTAACCTCAATACGTGACTTCCTAATTCCCACCGTTGATTTACGGCCGTATCTCGTTGAAACACCAGTTCTCGTACGATCAACGGAGTTAAGCAAAGTCGAACCTGGTCAGTATATAGATGGGTGACATCTGTGGAAAACCAGGTACTGTAAGCTTGTATGTGCAGTTCGAGTAATGGATAACGGCTCGTAATTAGAAATCGGAGAGCCGAGTTCCAATTCCCGTCGGGTTTATTTTATTTACTCATGCGAAAATACCCATGGGAAAGGTATGAACCCACCTCTTCTTCTCCCGGTTATGGGGCAATTAGTAGGACTTGTATGAGTAAAACCATTATTTCTTCAAAAAATTCTTACATATTTACATGTAAAATATTTTCTGGCTTTAAATAACCAGCAAAAGGTTGGTAAGCCGTAAAACGAAATCAATTAATAAAAAAGGTTGATAAGCCGTAAAACGAAATCAATTAATAAAGTTGCCATTTTTTTTTCGGACTACCTCTTTGCTCACTTGTTCTGTCCATTATATTCTCAGCATCTTTCTATAGAACAAAATTCTTTCATTTTGAGTCACCTTTTCTACTGTATAGAAAATGTCCAGTATTCAATGTCAAACAGGAAGATAAATATGATGGAAGATGAGAAGACTTTTCATTATTTCTGTCGTTGTTGTTGCTCTTGGAAGCATTCAAGGGATGCGGCTTTTGTTATTTAATGCAACTGATGCTATATCCAAGGATCTGTAAAAACGTAATGCCTGTTCAAATTTAATATTAGTATTAGTCAGAGTCCGTATTTATTTTAACGATAAACAATAAAGTGTCGAGATTCCCCGGAGAAAGACTTGTTGCTTTCTTTTCTTTTATTCATGATCTCTTTTCAAAATGGCTGCTCCTTTGCACACAGAGAATGCAAATAACTGTTTATTTGGTAAAATTCTTTGTGCTTTGTTTTTGTGAGCTCTTAGCGCGAGATACATGAAACATAGCAAATGAATTCTCTACAGGAAGACACAGGAGGTGGTGAACACTCCTCTAGTCTTCGATTAGGCAAAGCTGAATGCTTAACCGAAATAGAAAGACGTTAATATATATGGCAATAAAGAGAAGAGAAAAAAACGGAGACGCGATATGAAGAATTTCTTTTTAAATCTTGGAAATACAACCAGTTTCTTATTTGCTACTAATGCTTTCGGAGACAAGAGAGTATTTTATAATCCTTTCGAACTTTCTTCTTTATTGGTATGAATACTCAAAGTATATGTCTGAAATTACTATAATAATAAAATATGACAAGTTCACGTGTTAGAGAATTCTTAGCACTTTACACTTTTTATTAGGCGATTTGATTATCAAGTGTTAAACTAAAGAGTGTCTAATATAATTAAACTTTCCCTCTTGAAAAATGATATGTCCCGGAAAGGGATATATTTGAATGAAGTAGCTAAGTGGTTTTGGCTACTATAACCAAGTAGAATACGGTAGCAGTAATCGACTGGTACGCGTCGTAGTCACAGGTAAGAAGGGTAGATCAATGGCGTAGTCCAATGGGCGTCGTTATAGACTTAGCTCTCGGACTAAGGCTTTTTGACTCTCCTACACGTCCGTCGGTATTTATGACGGACACCAGCCAATCATATTCCAGTGAGGGGGAACGCAGGTGTATGCATATTTCATTATATCAAAAAATATTTTAAAATTTAATCAAAATTTCTTTAAGAATTTCGATATTCCAGACAGCCTTTCTCATCAAATATATTCTTAAAGAAATGTAAATATATTTGGTTTGTTTTGTTTTACGGCATATAATCTCAATGGGTTACTTAATGCCTACAAGATTTTCATTGCTGGTAATATTTTTGTTTCAAAATGGATTGCTGCTAATATTTTTCCAAAAATGTATTACTGGTAATTTTTGTTTCAAAATGTATTGCCCTTAATTTTTTTCCTCAAAAATGTATTGCTGGTAATAATGTATTGATGATAATTTTTTCTTCAGAATTCATTGTTGGTAATAATTATTTACAATAATTTATTGCTGGTAATACAGCCGATTTTTACACGTTTTGACCTCATTTTGGGGGTTAACTGTTTTGCCTATAGCTGGGACCCTAACAGGTGCTACCATCCTGGGTTAGGGTGGACCTGGCAACACCAGTAATTAAGAGGTGGTTCCACGCTCCTCAAAACCTCCTGATCAGAGGCCTTGATCTTGGATGTAGTTTATCGTCTTACCCAGGACGCGGATGTAGTTTATTGTCTTACCCAGGACGCAGATGTAGCTTATCTTCATACCAAGGACGAGAACATATTGTTTTATTTCTATCATAAAAGTTATTTGAAATAGTTTACAACATATACTGTTTTGAAAAAAAGTGTTCTTTCTTATTATAAAAAAAATGTTGCCATCTTTTTCAGGTAAAAATCTGTAGATGGCATAGTGTTTACATTTCTAAAACCGATAGATGATTTCTAGCGAAATCTATTACGCTTTGAAGTTAGGCCGCATCGCAAGGGTTAGTAAATTAATTATTAATGATCACTGAATTCGATCATCACTGGTTAACTCACGTAGACGTAAGATGTTGACTATTTACATTATTCGGACTATTGTCCTCGTCGTCTTTGTCGCCATATTTATTACAACGTTTCAGCTGCTGTACGCTCTGGTCTTCTTCGGGTGGTTGGAATGTCGAACTGAACCCTTTATTTCGCTCACTGGGGTAGACTGTTCAAGTTCCACGTGCCATGTCTAATGGATGTCAGTTATCAGTTTTCTTCCGTTAATTACCCTCTCCAAGTTCTCCACTGCTTTAACCAGGTATTGAATTCATAACTCTTTGGGTCCTGTCACTGGATCTAACTAACGCCTTTATCCACTGTGCCATGTGTTCTTGACAAATATGAGGACAATAGTTCGAATAATGTAAATAGTGTACATAATACCTCATCTCAGAAATATAGACAGATACTGTAAGAAGAAAATCAAAAATTGAAGATTACGGGGATGTTGAGGATAGATAACTATTGGCCCTAGATATGAAGACATTAAGATTGTAGTGTTCAAGAAAGCATCAAGCGGCAGATACATTTCACCCAAGCAAGACAATGAAGCTACTTAGACAAAAGTGTTATAAGAAAAAGGAAAACATTAATAAAGAGTGATAACAATAAAAAAACAAAAATTAAGATGACAGTAGGTAACGATTGATATCGCATTTAATTTTTTAAGATCAAAATTGGTTAGAAAGCAAGAAGTCGGAAGAGAGTTCAACATTTGAGAAATGCCAGAGAAGAAACTTTTACTATAGAAATTTCGGTTATATCTAACTATTTCAACTTTAAAATGATAAGACCTTGCTAATAATTTAGTACTGCGTTTAAATTAATAAAGTCAAGGTGACATATAGAAAAGATCCCCAGAAAAATTAGTATGAAAATATTTATAAAAAAGGCACAGGGAAGCAACGTTACAAGGGTGGGAAAGTGACTGAGCCGAGATGCCAGTTTCATTGCAGATTATTCTTTGGGTTTAAGAATCTCTAAATATATAGCAGGAGCCCAGATTAACTGTAATTGTTTGAATTTGTGGCACTAATAAATGGAGTTTGGTTTGATTTGGTTAGGTTATTTAATGCCGACAAGATTTTTATGGCTGGTAATATTTTTTCAAAAATGTATCGTTGGTAATAATTTTTTACAAAAATGTATTGCTGGTATTAAAACCTATTTTTACACGTTTTGAATCCTGTTTGGGGGTTAACTATTTGCTCATATCTGAAACCTGACAGGTGCTAACACCCTGGGTCAGGGTGAACCTGGGAACACCAGCAATTAAGAGGTGGTTCCACGCTCCTCAAAGCCTCCTGATCAGAGGCCTTGCTGTTGGATGTAGTTTATCGTTTTAACCATGACGCAGATGTAGTTTATCGTCATATCCAGGACGGAAATGGAGTTCGCCAGTCTGCTTGCTATGGAAATAATGTCAGATTAGCTTTTGGTCTATGAAGGTGCTGCTGATTTGGAAATACCTCATGGTCGTGTAAACGATTTTGAACATTGTCCAAGATGGTAAGTGATGATTAAGGGCTCCGACCCAGATATGACCGTGGTACTCTACGTTTGAATTGTTCTGGCTTTTATAAAGGGTGTTTCAATAACTTATACCGATTTTAAATGTGAGTTAAGTTAAGCGTCGAATGAGTTTTTCTTTTTCTCTCAGATTTGGCAGACATTTGGGCGATATTATTTTTCACACATAATTGCCATAACTTAAATAACATGATCCAATAGAAATAAATACATTTTCACCAATGACACTGATTCATTTACTGCTGACTTTGATCCGTCTTAATGAAACACCATTATATTATAATCCGTCTTAATGAAACACCCTTATATATAAATCCGTCCTAATAAAACGCCTTTTAAATATAAAGCATGACAGCTGGTCTCAGGAACTTCCTGGAGCAGAACAAAGGACCGACCATTTCACAGCATGGGTAGTATATCTGAGTCCCAACTGAACTTGAACCTCAGGTAGACGGTCAGAGTAAGGAGGATCACTGAGATGCAGCATTTAATATGACTGGTGAAAATTCAGGATGAAACATTACCAACTCGTTCTAATCGATAGGTGAGGCGAAACTGGAAAAAATGACGTATCGAGAATCAAGGATTATCAGTTTCCACATACACCCAAGGAAGGACGAAGAACGTATCGGACCAAAAGTTGCGCTAAAAACAACAAAATTATAAAAAAAAAGTCGTTGGCACACTGTGTGAATGCATCTAACCTTTACTTATATTTGATGCATAAAATAAACGCTATTTTAGGTGTAGGCTACGAGCAACCCTACTGACAAATCGACAGCTCCTTTGATCGACTCCAATTCATCAAAGAAAGCACGTTGCAGTAGCAGAGCCTGCTTAAATCACTGGCAACTCGGGCAGTCACCCGGGGCGCCATCAAGGCCGAGGGCGCCATCAAAGCCGAGGGCGCCATCAAAGCCGAGGGCGCCATCATGCCGCCATATCATGTGTTTGGGATCTTCCGAAACTAAATCTTATAAAAACATACTTGCGGCCGTCCATGACTTAAGAAAGAATGAATTCTTTGGCTATTTTGTCAATAGAAAATAATCTTGTAAAGAAG